AATGTGTTAAATTCGGCATCATGTAAGTTGCGCTGACAGGTCCACACACTGCTTCCCCTCAGCGAGGCTCCCCCGCCCTCCTGCTGATAGTTCACGAGCGTCAAGCTCCTCAACCGCCCCCCCCCCCGGTTGATAATTCTCGATCGTTGGCACGCTGATCATTTTATTTTTTAAATGGCACTTCATATCAAAAAGGTTGCCGACCCCTGCAGTAGAGGAACAACAAGCACTTTCAATGTATGTCCTCTTAAATTACGTCCTGTCCAATAGCGACCACATGGACGTTGAGGGAGGTGGACAAAATGTGTATTTAACTCTATGAAATGGATGTGAAGTAGCAAGCCAATTCCAAGTATACCAGCTATCACAAGGCATTACCACCATATTGGTAATTTTGTCTATTTCGTTGGAATTGTTGGCAATATAAAAGTAGAATAACATCATGTGTTTACTCCACACATTTCCATGCAGACATTTTCGTTCCTCAGACAGGATTTGAGTCACCTGTTTAATCTGTTTCCTTGTTAAAAGCAAACACTTTTTTATCGACTCCCTTTCATCGCCAGAGATCCACAGATTCAGGCGGATCATTTACATACAAAGGGATGATCCCTCCTTCTCAGCCCTCCAAGTGATGGGAATTATCCGCTGTAGTGCTACTTGTGTTGTTGGCTTGTTTCACCACAAGACGTGTGAACAACACTTCAGTTGTTTCCAAGCAGGCCGCCACTACAGTCATTTTCATCAGCCCTCTTGTTCAGGTAATGTTCCTTCAGGCTGGCTGATTTCAGGGCTTATCTTGTTAAGAGCCCCCTGCCTCGCCGCAGATCCGCTGTCAGATGCGGGGCTCGTGCATTTCCAGCACTATTATTGGTGATTGTGGAGTGACACTAATTAAAGTCATTGATGTTTCAAATGAAGCGCCACACGTTTTGCCTGATTTGTCACAATAGCTCAGATAGCTTCTCAACCTGGCCCCGTTGTGTAGTTATCGTGTCGTTTGTTTCCAGGCTATGTGGAGAAACTAGCATGTGTGTGTTATTAAAAGAAAGCAAGCATGGAGATGAGGCAGAGCTTTGCTTCAGGTATTTACATTTTAATTTTAGCATGGAAAATGATTTTCCTTAAGCTCACAGAGTCAAACTTTAATCTAGTTTTTATTATATTGGAGCCAAACCAAAATAGCAAAGACTATTATAAGAGTCCCTCTCAGCTGACTGTGATGCAATTCAGGCTGCATGCATTATTTGCAACCCAGTCTCACGGCATTTCCTGATATAGTCACGACATTTAATCTATTGATTCATGTTCACCAACACCATTTCCCAACGTGCATTGCGGCTAAAACATCCAATCACCGAGCTTCAACCATAGCTGAGGATTTTGGGTAATCAGT